TGTGTGTGTGTGTGTGTGTATATGTGTGCGTTACATGAGGTCTTGTCTCCACAGATGTCGAACAAGCCGGAGCTCCAGTTTCCCCCTGTCTGGGTGATGGTGGTGATGGTTGTCGTGGTGACGCCGAGGCCAGGCTGTGTGAGTACTGGGTCTGTCACTGCAGGGGCATCGTTTGACCTGCAGTTGGCTTCACTTCCTGTGGCGAGGCCCCGTGCGCCCTCCTCTCGAAAGGCTGATGGTGAGTGTTTGGTGACTGACAGTCCGGGTCTGAAATTAGATTCTTAATGAGTCTATCTTTAGACGGATGTTCGAGAAATTCATGTCACCAAAACTCAAATGAACCAAGAAGTCTCTTCTTGTTTTCTACGGGTGCGAATTCAGTTCATTTATCTCATTCCGCTGATATTTTCCCAGAACAGCATGTTTTCTTTTCACCTCGCTTTTATGAAAGTTTAGCAGCACAGCATCACAATTACACTAATGTATCTTCCCACTGCTAAACTACTGTAGATAATGCAGCATTTATTCTAGCATTCATCTCATTTAGACCGTTAGTGATATTCACAGAGGTGGAGAAAGAAGAAACACAGCAGCATAAAAAAAGAAGAGTGAATGAGCTGTTGGCTGTTGCTCCATTGTGCTCAGTGATGGCAACACTGTGTACTGGTAAGGACAAAGAAACACTTACTGGTGTGTGACTGTCATCTGCTCCATGACTATAGAAGCTGCTGGCATCCAGAGAGAGGGGTGAGGCGAGGAGACGAAGGAGAGGAGAGGGTGAAGAGAGTCAGCAGAAATGAGGAAGTGGTGGTGGAGGCCTGGGGTAGGGTGGGTGACACTTCCCCAGCAAGAGGGTGTGTGCCGGAGCAGATAAACCAGCAGTCGGATGGCCCGGCCAGGAGCTGTGAGACGGAGATAAGTCTCGAGTCTTCACTGTACACCCCCCTGCTGCTGTAGCAAATGCAGAGAGGGCAGATACACATCACGGTGCATGGGCACAAACATCACTGTACGAAATAATCAGATGTAAATGAATGCAAGCACCACACACAAGAACACACCAGCACGTCACAACAGGTCGAGAAAAGTGATTATTTAATTACAAGATTGTCTCTGGAATATAATAGACATGTACCATATATCTAAAGTGTGAGACATTAGACATTACTTTTAGTTTTATGACTTTATCTCATTAGGAATTCATTCTTATTAAAGATTAATTCATGTATTCCAATGGTGTATATCAAATAAAAGTTCTAACACAAGGAATCTAATCTAACACTTTGTTTGCTTTACCCATGACATTCAAAAGCATTCACCGCCGTCTCTGTTAAAACGATTTATTGAAATAGACGTACAGTAAATGTTAGACTCACCCTTAAGGCAGAAATGCAGCCTCGCCGAGTGAAGAGCTAGGAAGTGAGAGACGCACTTCAGAACCAATGGAACACCTGAGGTCCGCGTTAGAGGGGACTGACTGCGTTCATGCATTTCCTGCGGTCTGACGTTGACCTTTAGATTTAGACTCGTACAGCATTAGCGTGCATGTGTGTGTGTGTAAGAAAGAGAGAGGGTGGGAGGGAGAAATGAGGGGAGGTAGGACAGTGTAACGACCACAGGTATAGAGGCTCAGACAGTTCACACACACGCATGTCGAAAATGTAGTTTATGAAAACGAGCTGCGTCCTCTTAAATCTCTGTTTCAGGAGGTCAAATTTGCCATTTTCAGTCAACTCAAAGAAAAATATTTCTAGAAATGTTTGAAATCTCTAGGTCAGTTCCTTTTCCGGAGCCCCTTTGGCAACAGTTGCAGCTTTGAGACTTCGGCAAGTCTCTACAAGATTTGCACACTGTAGGATTTGGGCAGTTTATCCCATTCTTCCTTGAAGATCCTCTCAAGCTCCGTGAGATTGGATAGGAAGTCTGTGAGCCGCCATCTTTCAAGTCCTCTCCTCAGATGTTCTTGTGGAGTTTGAGAAGTCTGGCTGAGCCACTCAGGGACACTCAGACTTGACTGCACTGCTGTGCTGAAAGCTGAACAGTCATCCCAGGCTCAGGTTGTGTGAGGTTTTCTTTCTGGACCCTTTTTAGAGTTTGCCAGACACGTGTTCGGTTCTGGATGTACATCTCACGTCAACTTTGATTGGCCCCAGCCCCCATTCCCCTCTAAAAATGGCTGGACGCATTGAGTCAGTAAGTTGAGGTTTCTATCTTCAGACTAGGTGCTCAAATCTTACAAACTCACCCCGCACAGCTACAGTTTGCTCAGACTGAGTTCTCGCCATCGACACTACAGAGGCAACGTTCCGGAGACCTCCACAGAAACCACGACACAGATGAGATTAGATAAGACTTGTACTCAGAGGAAATAAAGCAGCACAGAGAGGAGAGAGACTAAAGAGAGGAGGTGAATATTTCACAATTGTTATTATTTCTCTGGAAAAGCACAAGTCAGACATGTGCCACCCACGCTGAGAAAACAGGAAAGCTGTCTGACGGGCTGACAAAACACAAGGGAACGACGTGCTGCACCTTCAATGTTTTAAACATCAGCAGAAAAAATTACCATCTATATGAAAACAAAAGGCATCAAGGTAGATGCAAGAGCAGTGACAATGTATTAACATAAAGTAAGTGGTTGGTCAGCGATGAAATCGGCAAGGTGGTGCATGTTTGTTCATTGAAAACATCCGAAGGCTTCCTCATACAAATAGTTGTTTATTTATTGAGTCATATCAAACCGGGAAAACGTCAACAGACAATGAAAAGACAGAACAGAACCAAAATCCTGGTTTTAAAAACCTTTCTTCAGCCTGGGGTATTTAGCTAATGTTTGGCTTTTTTCACACCATTAAAGATCCTAATTTAAGCAATAAAGACCTGATGGTCACAGAATTGTATCAGTGGGAAGGGTTATTAAAACCATGAACCATCTGTTTTGCTCAGATCAAACCCAGATGTGAGAGTACAACTGGATGAGAAGGTCCCATTTAGATTCCGATATTCCCTGAGGCAGCGTTCAGCAGTGACGAGACGAAGACGAGTGAGAGCTCAGTGTCGCATCAGTGATACGTTTCGGGTTTTAAACATTGCATCATTACATTTTTTATTTTATTTTGTTCATCTTAATTTCTTTGTATTTTAACATCTTAGAGATGGTTTTCAATGCGTTTTTATGTTTGTGATCTTTCAATTCTAACAAGTGCTGTAGCAAAGACTGCAGTGCACAACCATTAATTATAAAAACATAAATACATTGATAGTTGAGTCAGTGTTTGATGTATACTAGTCAAAATGTCAACATTGTATCATATTTCATGATGCATTTGAAACTTTCCCAAATGTTTCACTGCTGAATGTGCCACCATGCACCTGTGTGTCTGTATGTGTGTGTGTGTGTGTGTGTGTGTGTGTGTGTCCAAGTTACTCTAATGAACCAGATAAACCAGAGAGTCACCGATGTCCACGGTGAGGCCGTTGTCAGCCACAGTGACCCTCTTCTCCTCCAGATTGATGCTGAACACAGATTTACTCGAGATGGGCAGCTTCCCCCTTTCCTCTTGTCCCAGGACGGGCACCTGGCGAGGCCCCAGCTTGGGGTCCTCGTACCTCATCAGCTTCACTCTGGACAGGTCTGGTGTAAGAGACGGATCAGGGGTGAGGAGGGAGAGAGGGAGAATATTGAGACACAGTGGATGGATGGCCATAGCAGACATCAAGTGCAGAGGGAAGGTGTTTAAATAAGTTTAAATGAGAAAGGAGAAGAGTGACAGGGATCCATGTTGACCACCAAAAACCTTGATCTCTGTCCAACCTAATAAACTTAAATCCAACTGTTGTGAAACACTTTGATCCACGTTAACATTTTAATTGTCTGATTATAACATTTGTTTTTGTATATTAACATAAAAAAATAATTTGGGTTGCCAACTATAGTAAATGAATCTGTGCAGTGAACACATTTATCTTACAAACCTTTGAGGAGTCTGTTGACCTTGGACAGTCTACGGATGAGGCTGTCTCTGCTGTCCCCCTGCCGGACTTCAACCTTTGTAGAAAACATGCCATTGCAGGGCTGAGGGTTGACCAGGGACAAATACACTCCAGGCTGGGTAGACAAAGGAACAACACAAGTGCACATTTAAATATTTAATTTGAGTGTGCGACAACCACTGTTATAATAACAAATGATGCACACAGTTGAATAAGCACAAGTGGAAGCATAAAGCAAATTTTCAAGTGCAGCAACATTAGATCTTAAAGCTGAAATGTGAATATAAAAGATTGAAGATTCAATTTAATATGCAACAATAGATTTTATAAAGAAATTACAAATGCTTTCCCTTAATATTAGTTATAAAATTATAGAAGTGAATGAATAAATAATCTAAGTATAGTCTAAGTATCGTATAGGTATGCACTGAAAGAAATTACCTCCGATCTGAAAACACTGAACGGTTTCCCTGGGCAACAGTCCTCCTTCACTTTGTCGTCAGCCTCAGATGCAAACAGGATGTCGATCTGTTCCAACTATAGAGTCGATACCATGTGGAGAAAATCAAAAAAAGATCAGTGATGTTTGTCAGTATGAGAGTACACAGAATAAAAAGATTGTAAACAAGAAGAAAACTCTTCAGTCACATTCTATTGAATAAACACTGAACAGTCTGAGTAGGTTTGGCTTGAACTCAACACAGTCAAGTTTTCACAGCAGAGAAAAAGAGCGAAAACTTCCATTAAATTTCCAAAACCATAAAAAACCACTTCTCTGCTGATCATTCATATTAACTGCCACCTCTCAAGCCTGTGGTGTTTGTTTCACAAAAGACAGATTTGGTGTCGTTTCTGTGGCTATTCGTCTTCTGCTATGATCGATCAGACACGTGGGAATTGGTGTCAGGCAGGGTATTACTTGTTTTTTTGTTTTCCCTTTCCTGTGGTTAAATCTGTGCTGGTTTTACAAAGTTATCTCAGGGCTTCGGTTTTTGACTTGACTAAGCTCCTGTGTAGAAAAAAGATTTAAGGGCTTTCCTGACCAACAGCTGAGCTCAGGATTGTCTCAAGTTTCTTTTGCAGAAGCGGTGAAAAGCTGTAAAATGGAGGTAATTTTAAAGAAAACAGACACAAGACAAACAGAACTTTATCAATTAAACCTCTTCAATTATTGGCACATATTTGGGATGAGCAGTTTCTTGTGGTTATTGTCTAACCTTGACAAATTAAGGGACTGACAGAGGATGGCAGGTTAATGAATTTTTGATCATTTTGGTTTGAAAGGGATGGGATCTCCCCTTCTGGTGTAGCTTAAATGTTGTCTAATTCTTGGACTGGTTGATAACACACCTCCAGAGAATTAGTTAAGTAGACCAGGTTTTCCATCAGAACTGCCCGCTCATCAAACTCCAGCTCCAGATCCAAAACCCTGGGCCCGTTCTTCTCCAGGTTCTCCTACAGAACACAAATAGAATCACAAGAGATGCTGACTTCGCTAATAGACATTTATTCACAAAAAATAATCTGACTTCTCCTGAGAACTGAACAAGAAGTTAACATATTGAGTTTTAATTTCAATAAGAGGAAAATTGATATTTAATCCACATACTGAAAACATCAGATATAATTCTGTATTATGGAGAATGTCCATTGTTATTCTGATGTTGCCACAAGATTAGGAAAAAAAGATGCTCTCTGAACAAAAGATGCCAAAACAAACCATCACAAAAGGAAAGCTTGGGGAGAAGAGCTCAGAGGCTTGAGAAACAAACCATGGTCCGACACAAAGCTCTTCATTACTATTTATTAGTTTCATTCTGTTTGATCACTGTGGACAAAACAGAAACACCCGAACAAAACCCTGAGCACCTGGGAGATTAGATATCTAAAATTTTAATGGGCATCGACCCTGTGAATTATT